CCCCAAAACCCCAAAACCCCAAAACCCCAAAACCCCTATATTTATTAACTAAATTAAATAGTTTTAGGACAGTGATGGAAGACAATCAGAAAATGTATGAAGAATTGAAAAATAAGTTTACATGACTGGTATGAAGAGGAATCGTACAGGATGCAGTGACGATTAAGGGATGTACGCATACTTTTTGAAGCAAGTGTTTGAGAAATCATCGGGCAATTATTGATGAGTGTCCGATTTGTGAAGGGAGAGTTGGAGAAATCATCAAAGTACCTGATATTTGAGAAATAGGTACAAAAATAATCTACCTAATGGACATGGCAAAACAAAGCAACCAAATCCTATTAGATACCCAAAAGCAAGTCTCTGAAATGAAGGATATGGAAAAAGTAATTATCGATTCAATGGAGCCCAAAAAGCCTGTCGTAAAAAAGTCTATTTCTGCAAAAGAGTACCCACACCCTGTCTCTCCCTCAAAAGTAGAACCTTTTAAATAAATTCCAGTCTTCAAACATCCCGAGTGAATTTCTTCCGCAGCTAAAATACCCTCACATAAACAATAACTTCGAGCACGAGATAGAAGGAGACAATCTGAACTTTAGCTTCGGGGATGAGTCCCCTAACCGTAAAGTGGAAATCCTGCTTGAAGAAGAGGTACGAACCCTAATCTCTTAGAAGAAATATTCGGATAAATAAACCTAGATGATATCTCTCAAAGTTCTTTGCGACTCATTTAAGTGCTCATGGAACTCACTCTATTTGTTATAGAAAGATATTCCTAAGAAGGTCAAAGTGAAGAAGCCGATCAGTGCGGTACTTGGCCAAAAGAAGCCGGTCGCGAGCAAGCCAGCGCTATCTGGAAAGCCTTTCCAGCCTGTAAGGTTTTGACTGCCCATTATTTCAGCAATTTAGGCATCTCTTCGACCAAGTTTGACGTCTAACAATAATTTAGGTAATGAAGAGCGCAATACACCTGGAAAATAATGACTTTGAAGATTGGGATGACTGCTTTGGAATGGATGTTATACAAAACCAGTCTCAGAAAGCCGAGGAGTTTAACCAGAACTACATGAGTGCCAAAGCGTGAGAGAAGAGGCCCCCATCCCCTAAGTTCAAAGGCTTTTACAAATAGGTCTCAATATATAGCTAGAATATCGGGGTTTTGGGGTTTTGGGGTTTTGGGGTTTTGGGGTTTTGGGGTTTTGGGG